CCATCTCCAGCCCATTCCCTCTCTCTCCTTCCCTCCCTCCCTCCCCTCCCTTCCCCTCCCTTCCCATGTTCTGCCGTGCTCCTCGCCCTCTACATTGCTTCTTGCTCGCTGTCTCCCACTTGTCATCGTTCTCCTCATCTTCTCTCGCAGTCTCAGATCTTCGAGGGCGTCTCCTACCTCGTTCAGTCGGCGGTGGACGGCTACAACGTCTGCATCTTCGCCTACGGGCAGGTGAAGGCGGAAGTCTTGCTGACGACTCAGCTGAGAAGTTTCATAGACGGGGTCAGGCAAGACGTTCACCATGTACGGCAAGAAGGATGACGATGTAAGGCCTGGATGCCTTCAGACTGTTTATCTCCCTCCTTCCCTCATACTGCTCTTGTCCTGAATGCTTTCCTGTCGCAGAACCTCCGCGGCATTGCTCCTCGAGCGATGAAGGAGTTGTATGAAATTGTGGAGCGAGACAGCCAACATTATGAGTTCGAGGTCTGTTGACATGTGCTTGTCTTGTCTCCCCTCTCCTCCCCTCTCCTCCCCTCCTCCCCTCCCCTCTCCTCCCCTCTCCTCTCCTCTCCTCTCCTCTCCTCTCCTCTCCTCTCCTCTCCTCTCCTCTTCTGACTCTCTTCTTATCCAGGTCTCATGCTACATGCTTGAGCTCTACAACGATCAACTGATCGACCTGCTGGTCGACAAGAAAGCCAAACCTGTCAAGTGAGGACGAGGAGATGGAGTTACTGGTGTGATGATGACGTGGCACCGGCAGGCTCGACATCAAGTTGGATGCCAAGGGGATTGTAGTTGTGAGTGGCGCAAATGTGAAGGGACCCTGTCGGTGAGTCAGAGAGGAAGAGGGAGAGAGATTGAAGGAGTGATGATGATGATGATGATGATGATGATGATGATGATGATGATGATGATGATGATGATGATGATGATGATGATGATGATGATGATGATGATGATGATGATGATGATGATGATGATGATGATGATGATGATGATGATGATGATGATGATGATGATGATGATGATGATGATGATGAGACGTAATAAGATCAACTCTGTTATTTGATGGGTTTATGTTGATATCTATGAGTTATTTTTTTTTGGGATAATCTTTTCATAGGACATACGAAGAACTATCAGCATGGAACGAGTACGGCATGAACCAACGGCATGTCGCGGCGACGTCGATGAACGCTGAGGTGGAGGAGACGGTCGTATTTCTGTGCTCTCGTTGACTGAAATCTTCAGAGCTCCCGATCGCATCTTGTCTTCAGCGTTCTGATCCAATCGAAGAACTTGCAGGTGATGTCTTGAGAGCGGAGCTTGACTTGTTCTCCTCTTCTCCTCTTCTCCTCTTCTCCTCTTCTCCTTTCTCCTCTTCTTCTTCTCTCCCCTTCTTCTCTCCTCACTCTCATGCTCGTTGCAGACTGGAGTCGTGAGCTTCGGAAAGCTCACGCTCGTTGACTTGGCCGGTTCTGAACGACAGAGCAAGACAGGAGCAACAGGTTAAGTGCATTTACATCTACCTTGACATCTTCATCTCCATTATCATACACATCGTCATCTTGATCGTCATCACACACCGTGATCCTTCCTGCAGGTGACCGCCTGAAAGAAGCAAAATCCATCAACATGTCACTGTCTGCACTGGGAGATGTGATCTCTGCTCTGTCTCAGGTCTGGTCCCTGTGATGAGCGTGTGAGAGAGGAGCCTTGCGATGACGATCGTGTTCTAGGGGGAGAAGTTCGTGCCTTACAGGAACAACCTCTTGACGAGGCTGCTCCAGGTAATTTTCCTATCCTCTCCTCCTCCTCCTCCGCCGCCTCCTCCTCCTCTTCATCATCATCCTCTCCTCCTAACGAGTCTCAGGACGGTATTGGTGGCAATGCGAAGACTCTGATGTTTGTCAACATCTCACCGTCCGACTACAACTCGGAGGTGAAGATGATGCCTGGACCGAAGAACTTCTTCAATTTCAAACTCTCACCCCGATATCATGATGACTTTGAAATGACTCTGACGTGTTTTGAAATCTGATGGGCTGATGATATCATATCTTCTGGGTTGGCAATTGACTTGTCTTCTTTGATGTGTATCGGTGACATCTGAGTCGTCACGAATCATTTTCTGCCTCTGATCTTGTGAATCCGATTCTCTTCTCTTACAACGTTGTGCAGGAAACTACAACATCCCTTCAGGTCTTCCTCCATCCCCAACTCCTCTGCGCCTCTACCCTGGCGAATCTTTTGCATGCTTTCATCTTTTCGCATCTTCTGCTCCTGCTCTTGTTGCTCCTCTTCCACCTTCTCATCTTCCTCCCTCTCAGTACGCATCGCGAGTGAAGTTGATCACAAACGACGCGAGCAAAGCACAAGAATCTGCAGAGATTCAGGTGAGGGAGGAGGAGACGACAGGCAGGAGAGTGGTGGGAGGAAGTTAGGTCTTGGTTATGGAAGGGCAAATACGAACATACAGTATGCTGCGAAGATGATAAGATGATGAGAAATGAGGGGGAACAGAGACGAGGACGAGGAAGAAGAGGAGGAGAACGTGCTGGGATCTGAATCTTTCGCAGCGGCTCAAGAAGCTCATCGCAGATCTCAAGAAGGTTCTGCAGACCCTCCTCCTCCTCCTCTCTCCTCTCCTCCTCCTCCTCTCTCTCTCTCT